AGCAGATCAACAACGGCGAACCAGCAATGATAACCCAATCCAACTTAACAAAAAGTTCCCTATCTGTACTCGAAGCGACAACAAAAACAGGCGATTGTCTGCTACAGGAGAACGGACAATTCAGATATCTTTAGTAAACCAACACGGATATAAATTAGTGTTTTTAGGTGCTTGTAATGTCCCATCGGCTTGTTGTCCTAGACCCCTTTAACCAGAAAAGTTATAACATGGACCTTTTACCAGACTCGAGCGTTCGTGATAGGGAACACTTGATCTCGAATGTGATTGGTCAGAATCTGTGCATAAATTAACTGCGCCCTCTTGTGGCGAGCGTACGTAATAGCGTATTCTCGATTGTGATTGGTTCATATTTGTGCATAAATTAATGCCACCCCTTGCGTTGTAGATTTGCAATTAATCATCTTTCCTGAGTGGTTGGAATTAATGGTTAAAGTTTCGATGCAATCTTGTGGATATGTACAAGTATTGACATCCATGGTCTGAAGAGACCTATCCATATGCAAAATGTTGTTTATACAAGAGGTACATTTTGATATTGCATTTTGATATTGCAAGGCATAATTTCATTCTTTGTTGTAAAGTTTATCTACCGTTGTACAAGCTGAGAAGATTTTTGGATGGATTTTACCACGAATTGTTCATCGAATTTAGATGGTTGGGGGCTTCGAAAGTAGGGTGGCGAGACAAGTAATCGACAATACCTAATTTTGTGCCGCCAATATGTTTAGCTTTGAAATCGAAAGGTAAAAGTCTGTCTGCTCATCTGGTCAGGCGAGATTGATATGATTTTTTGCCTCGGTTTGACTGAAAGGCGGATATAATAGCTTTGTGGTCGGTTAAATCCTCAAATGTGTTCCCCAGTAAAAAAAATTCCTGAGATGTTCGCATGACCGAACTATTGCGAGTAATTCTAACTCATTGGTACCTAATTTCTTTTCCTGAAAATTAAGGAATATTGGGGCAAACGATATTGGTACCCAGGAACCGTCCGGTAATTCTCGTTCCAGAGCTGCGTCTAGACCGCTATGGCTGGCGTCACATTTCACCCTAGAGTTCCTCTTCTGGTCGTAATGGTACATCTTTGTTATGTTTGAGACTAGGAGAAGTGTCTTCAAAAGCTTTTTGCTGATCCGTTCCCCGTACGACTTTTTGTTTATTTCTCATTTTTAGTGAGGGTCTGAACTTCTCGGTTAGGACGTGTAGATTTTGTAAAAATCTTTGTAGGTGGTTAAGAACTCCCAAAAAAGAGCGTAGTTACTTTAACGTATGGGGAGGTTTATGTTCTAAAACTGCCTGAACTTTAGAAAATTTTGGTTGGTATCCATTTTCGCAAAAATCAAAACCTAGTCGGTATTTTCTATTTACTGAGAGTTTGCATTTTGATAATTTCAAAGAAAACCCTTCCCTGTCAAGTTTAAGGAGACGTTTTCGACAATCTTGTTGTGGTTTTCGATAGATCTTTTCGAAACAAATAAAATGTCGTCTAAAAACTAGATTACTCCTTTGGTGTTTTGGAGGGTGTTGTCGATTGCCTTTTGCAATTCTTTAGGCATATCTGTAGGATCGTAAAATGCTGTTTTATAACGGTAAGTGCCTGTTGATTTTCTGCAGACAATACTAAAGTGAATGCTGAGTAGATCACTGAGTAAAGTTGACTAAAAGCGTATTTAAAATCGAGAAATGTGAATCAAACTTCCCCCGGGGTATCCTTATTGATGATTTGGGCGGCCACGTCCAATTTTTCCAGAAGATTGGTCATTTGGTATTGGTTTTTGAATATCTGAGCGTTCAATGGTTTAGCGTCATAGCTAATTTTATGGAGCCATCTTTCTTAGCTGTTATGACTACAGGTGCTACAAAATGATCGCTGGTGCATTTGTTCAACTTCACGATGTGTCCTTCTTTAATGAGTTTCTTTATTTCCATACCCACTTATTCTTGGATGTGTATTGGTACTCTTCGACCTTTCTCTTGTCTGTGGTTTTTTGATCTACCCTGTCTAGTGAATATTCTTTTGAATTTGTTCATAAAAATAGTTCCGCCATTTGGCTGAGTCGGTTGGTGGAGATGAGATTTCATTGATAGTTGTTGGTCTTTTTTGAGTGATTTGGCCTCCTAAAGAACTTTGAAGGTCGAGACCTAGCAGGCATCTGGTGCGGTTTTCAGAGACCAGAAATTTCAAGGAAGTTATCTGCCAACCCAGAGAAGATACGTCTGCTATTAGAGTACCGAATGACTTTTTTGTCCTCCTGTTGTAATCGACATAGTGGGTGTCGATGGGCAGTTCCGACGTTGAAAGTAATTTGACGTTGGCACCAGGTTTTAATAGGATATCTGCGGTTTTGTTGATAAAAGATGCCGGGGGCTACCTGTATCGTTGGAAGATTTAAAAAATGTTTTGTTGACTCTCAGTGTGATTTTTATACATCTGGTTTTCCCCGTAGCGGACCTAATGACTTCTAGTTTTTTGACCGCACATTCAGGTTTATGGCCTTGGTTGGTTTTTTCGACCAAAAGGGATATATTCAGTACCGAATATTCCGGTTCACTATCCGAGGCGATGAAGTCGCATTCTTCTTCGGCTGTAATTTAGAGTCAACATCTACAATCCCTACGTTGCCCCTTGAGTTGCAACATCTGGCAAAATTGCCCTTTTTGTTGCAGTTCTTGCATATCACATTTTTTGCTGGACATGAAAGTTTGCGATTCGGGGAGAATTCCTTCCCGCAGAAGTAACAAGGTTTTTATCTGTTTGTTGGGTATTGTTAGGTCGGTTGTTGGGTTTTCCTCTAGAATTTTGAGCTCGATTAGTTCTGTTCTAAATGTTGTTCTTTTGCTGAACTGAGAGGGTTGGTTCTTGTTTTATTTTGAACGAGTTTGGGTGGTTCTGACCGAAGTTAGAGTTAGAGCTAGATGGTCCTGATAGACCCATTTGTTTTTTGCAAAGTAGAGGCAGTGACATATCCTTTCTTTCGAAGAAGAGCTGATTTTAGTGTTTTGTTTGGAGAGTTGCCTGGTCTTATCCAAATGTCACATTGGATATCTTTGAATTTTATCTTAGCTATGAAAATGTCACGGACAACTTCCTTCTCGTTTTCGATTGCCCATGCGCATTGGGCGGCCTGACCCGAGAGTCTCAGAAAGAAGGTTTGTAGACTTTCTCGGTCTAGTTGTTGGGTGTTGTAGAGCTTTATTCTTTCGATTATATAGTTTTTGTCTCTTTTGAAAAGTACCTCGCTTTGATTATAAAAGTCGCGGAAACTGATAGTTGCGATATCTGTGTGAGCGTGGCTTTGTAAGAATCTTTTGTTACCTTCTGAACCCAGGGAGAAGAATAATCGTGATTTGATCTTTTGATCCGCTTCGTGGAAAAATACTTGAATTTCATTCAATACACAACACGTTACGTTACACAATGGGAGGCACACCCGCCGTACCACAGAGTGTAAGATCAATTGATGAGGAATCAACCAACAAAAGTCTTTAAAACGCGCAAAAGTTTTGTCCTCGGAACCCAGACGTGTGAGAGGGCAAATTTGTGGTTTGTTACAAAATCTAGCTTGGCATCATTTTTTTTACATTTCGGTTTAGATTTAAAACTTATGTCTTGCGGATTTCAGCTTGGTCTCTTGCGATACGGTTAGTTTCTTCAATATGGGTTTCTGGTTCTCCTTTTTGTTCATGACGTGGGGGGGGGGGGGTTGATCGTCGAACCAAGACTTCAGCTGGTTCGCGTAGAAGGAAATTGGCACTGCAATGTTCTCTTAAGTTCTCAGCTAGAAAGAACTACTCCCATGTGAGTAAGGGTTCTGTTGTTGGTTTAGGTCAGAACGCTGGTACCCCTATAAGATCAGTTCGGTCCTCGCCGACAAAACTGCTGGCTGCGTCATGTGGGATGTCAACCGACAGACTCTTAGTTACAAAAGTAATTGTAATAAAATGTGAATTGGTTATTAAAGCAATGTTGAGATATCTGTATTTTTCACTAGATAACGAGAGAGTGATTTTCATTCAGCAGTGAACATTAACATGGTCGGCAAGTACCGGCTTTGACATAATCATCAACTCACTCAGACTAACAATATGACCTCTATAATCAATTCAATACACAACACGTTACGTTACACAATGGGAGGCACACCCGCCGTACCACAGAGTGTAAGATCAATTGATGAGGAATCAACCAACAAAAGTCTTTAAAACGCGCAAAAGATTTGTCCGCGGAACCCAGACGTGTGAGAGGGCAAATTTATGGTTTGTTACAAAATCTAGCTTGGTATAATTTTTTTGTACATTTCGATTTAGATTCAAAACTCGTCCGCTCAGCATTTATTTAAGATTTTAATGAAAGTTTACTCTTTACAAAAAAGTTTTTAACCGACACGATTCTTTTTTCTACCGATTAGCCAATGTTTTCTGTTTTTCTGTACTTAGACCCTTTCTGCTCTAAGACCATTCTGATCATTGCTCTCCCTCTGTATCGCTCATGCAATAACCATCTCATTTAACATAAAGTTAATGCGTTTCTGAGAAATATGAACAATTGAAACTCAAACAACTCCTTTTTCAATGTTTTAACTCAATTCATTGTCTTAATTCACGTAATGATGTTTTATTTATCAGCACCAGCACATTTATTCCCAGAAATTTTTTTGCACAAGAAGGTTGTTTGGTACAGTTTTTATCAGAGCGAGTAACGCAATAAAAAACAAGATGATAAACCAACCGCATTTTCAATACTTTAAAGCAAAAAATATATATTGTTGTTCCGACTTGTTGATAACTGCTATAATTATCGCAGTTAACAAAAAAGTCAGAACAACAATATACATTTTTCGCTGTTATGTATTGAAAATGCAATTAAGCGATAAAAATTATCGGTAGTCGTTTCGCTTTATGGCACATTATTGAATATTTTAAATGGTGCAGAAAGACACGTTCTGACATGTTCCCGATAAAGCATTGCGTTTTCTTGCAAACAATTTTTAGTGAGTAAAATTTGCTCGTCAAACAACTATCGTCTCGATTATCTTTGCTTAATTCTCTTTTATTTTACGTCACTTGGTTGAATTTGAGTTAACTAAAAGACTATACCAAAATGCATACAAGACTACTTTTCTCATTTCTGTACTTCTCAGAAAAATTCAACATGCGTTAGACAAATAAGCCTTTACCACCATACACCACAATACTAAATAACCTGAAGTACTTCTAGCATTGATTATCTTATTTTCTAGAAATTCGTTGACCTTCTTCCGAGTATCACATCCTTAAATTATCGTTGGCCTAGTGGTGTTCAAACAGGACGTTACCAGATTTACCAGATAAATTAATTTAGTCCATTTCTTTACCTCAAAATGTCCTCCTTCAGAATCTAGCTTCCAAATTTTATTTGATTTAATTCCTCCGAAAATTAACTTGAGCTGCCCGTTACCTCGTTCCTAATTTGCCTGCTAAAGCATATTGTTAGATGGAGCTCCTACGAATAATTTCTTCATATAACATTGGTGGCAATAGGCACGGGCGAATATAGAAATGGATTTTGCCGTCATTTTAAAAAATGTCATTTATTTGATTTTTTAGATGTAACTAATAGTGAAAAAAAGGGAAGGAATTTGGATTTGCCGACGCTCTTAACCTCAAAAAAATTGTTCACATGAGCCAACAAAAAGGTACTCCCTTTTGTACTATTTTAAGACATCAGTTTAATGCTAATCGACTATAAGATTTTTCTAGAGGCAATATATATTTATTTTGAGGGGGGGAGCGCGCGCCGAAAAAAACGCATTTTTGTCAAGACTGTCCAAAAAGCATTGGCATAAACATGCATTTGTTTAAAAACGCGTTGGGCCTGTTTTTTTTTCAAAAGTTTGTCTGCGGCGTAAAAAGTTTGGCCAAAACAGGGTCTTTTAAGTGATTTGGGATAGCTAGAAAAATCAATTCACATTTGATTTGAATTTTTTTTCACTTTTTGTCTAAACACCAAAACTTGTCAAGAAACCAGTGTTCCAGATAGATCTCAATTTTAAAAAAGTCTTTTTACTTAATCTGCCCAAATTACCTAAATTTTTGATTTCATAATATGCAATTTATAAATGCTGAGAACAACATAATTTTTTCTTAAACGGACTCCTAACAAGGTCGAAATTTGAGCAGATGCGATGATGGTCATTTTTCCTTTGGAACTATCTTCTGTTTTTTTTTCTAAACTGGTTGAAACTGGGGCGTATTTGAAATGTTTTTGAGTCATTTACCAAACATTTCCGGCCAATTCGGCTTATTTATAAATCGACGTGAAATTGTGAACGAAGCACTTTGAGATGACACTGATAATTCTAGCCAATCAGATTGAAACAGAATAGATTTTGTTCATGCTGCTGAAATAGCGTTTTTAGGGCAGAATAAGTAAAAAGACCCAAAAATAAAGTTTTTCTTTCACCGTTCTGGTTCCGTGAAAATATCTAGCTCCGTGAAAATGACCAAAAATCAAACTTTTTTATACGGTTCTCACAACTTCTCACAAAACTAGGCTCTAGGAGTTTTATAAGGTAAGGAGTTTTCTCAAAAGAAAATTGTAAGATAGTGACTTTGCTTAAAAGAAAAATTTTGAAGTTGTTTTTTTAATTTTCATTAATACCAGAACGAAAGTTCCCCACTTTCGCAGAGTACAAACACGTTAACTCGTAGGCCAAGATTAATAATTTGCTACATGAGCTGACTAAAGAAACCGCTAACTTCATAGATATAATTGTTTGCTGATTATTAGAGTTTCTGTCAATATATATCTGACCCTACATACGAAAACTCTGAAGCTATATGACATGATTGGTGAAAATTAATTTTATTGTTTCGAAAAAAAATTGAACAACTGAATATGTAAAAACAAAAGATTTATCGAAATGGTTCTCAAAACTTTTGTTTCGGAACTTATTGTTCGAATTGCATAAATATAAACACAATCTGAAAAGTTTACAAAAATTAATTTAGGAAAGAAAAACTTTCCAGAATTGTTTTTCATTCGTAGATACTGAATAGAAATTTTTAATGACTTTTCGAATGAATCAATTACAAACCACTAACCCGATATAATATGAGCCGAGACCTATAAAATCTAAAAGAAATCGAAAAAAAAAATCGAAATTTTCTAAGGCTAATGAAAAGTTAGTAGGTCACCTCGCCCTCAAAACACGGAAAAAATATAAGAAGTCAAGGTTATTAAAATTTTAAACAGAAATAAATCAAACACTAAAATAAACTAAAAAAATATTTACGTTAAGCAAAAAAGAACCATTTCACGATGTGGCAACTAAACCGACCAAACACATGCAGACAAAAATAAACCGAAAACTTTTTTTGAAACAGAATACTACCCGTTTTGAAGAAAAACAGGTCCTGTCAGAAAAAATTGGAGAAGGCATTCTGAGACTTACTATAAATTAATTACTGAAAACGTTCATTGTTTTTAGCAGGTCACTGTTCGCTGTTCGCTTGATAGTAAGTATCTAAAAATGATGCTTGAAACTTTTTACTTCTTTGTTAAAAAAGCTTGTTACTAATTTTTGTAAAATTGGGAATAAGAAACTGAGATCATAGTGCTTCTCTTCGAATATTACTGCTAGCCAATATACATATCTCTCAGCCTAGTTATTTACACTCTCTTCCTTCGCAAAGGGAAAAAAGAACAATAAACCTGAAACAAACATTAATGCGGCCATTGAAAATTTGAAACCAGAAGATTAGTAAAAAGTCTTTTTCGATTAAAATAGTTGTTGAATGTTGTGACTAAGCTTTTCAGTTTCCTCTAACATTTTTCATACACATACTAACATTTTTGAGAAGGGACCAAAAATTCTGATGAAAAAACCTAAATTAAAATCAAAATCAAATTTTATTATACTGTTTTTTCAACAAAATAAAACAAACACATCAGTTTTTTCATCAGAACTTAAATAGTCCTTAATTTTTTTTATTGATAAGACTTTACAGGCCAAAAGATTTCAGCAAACATGTTTAGTACATATAAAACATATGTTAATATGTTTTCAAACATTTTTCATACCAATACTATAGCTCTTTTGAGAATTTGACTGAAAAGTTTCATGAAAATTTTTTAATTTAAATTAAAACCAAACTTTGTTTTACTGTTTTTTGAAACTCGCAGTTCGAACATCAACACACTTCAGAACTTAACATAGTTCTTGATTTTATTATTGTTTATAAGCCTTTATGTGGTCTATGTGCCAGATTTTTCTAGGGTTAACGTAGATAGCAATTAATTAAACCGGCTTAGAAATTTTTCTGCTGCTGTTTTGAGTGATTTCTACTGCTCTATAAAAAAGTTTTTCTTTTTATCTCCCTCAGGAAAATTTTCGCTAATCATGCGAGTACAACAAAAAACTTCTGTTTTTACTGTCATTGTCGCTTTTTGAAAATAGTGTTTTTTTTTTAATTGAGCAGAGCGCTTTCCAGAAGTATTAAAGATTTTAAAAAAGTAAAACATGGGCTTTTTACCCGACCTGGTGAAGGTGTTAATTAAACGGATGCATGTCGCCGTTTAATCTGGTTCAAATTATTTTACTGTTTAGTCCCTCTAAAATGTTGTTTAGTTTTCCGCCTCCTTTTTTCGCTATTTTTGCCCTATCTTTTTGAGTTATTGTATTGTCGTCTGGTAAAAAGTCGGCCTAGCTCAAAAAATACCAAGCCCCAGTAGAAAAAAAGAGTCCTGGATAGACAAGTATTTTGTAATTTTCAGAAATAAAGCAAAAAAGTAAAATAGATGCGTCAACAAAAAAGTAAAATAGATGCGTTATTTTGTTCTTCTGAGAAATAGAAACTTAGCGTTCATATGATTATCTTGCAACGGTTTTAAGAAAAATGGGTAAATTCTGCCGTATGATTAAATTTTTTTTTGATTTGCTGCTCTATAGGCCAAACTAATGCAATTCTGATAAGCTCTGCTGCTAGCAAAATCGCGTCTAGTGCAACGGACCGACAAGACTTGAAGTCAGAGGGATTCAGGCTGAAACTTAAACTAAAAAGATGTTATTTTGAAAATGTTATCAAAGTGCAGTCCATAATAAGCATTTTTCATGACAATGCACCATTTAGGAATGGCATCCTTTAGTTGGCAGGCATTGAGATTTTGATTTGCCAGATTTTGAAATACGTAAATTGAGCATATGAAAATTTCCTTCAACAATGTTTTAATTTTTAAGCCTTTTGAACATCAATTGAAGTCAATAACTGATAAAGAAAGACAAGAAATTGATTTTTTCTTTAAAGTACTTTTTAAATTGATCACATTTTGTGAGTTTTTGAGAGATTGTTCGGCTTGAAGTCCCTAACTTTATGATTTGGCTAGAAGTCCGCCCCTAGGCCTGATGTCGGGCACCCAGCAGAATCATTTGGGGGCATAGAAGACAACAGCGTGTTCAAACTTGTCAAAAATTACACAACTTTTATATTAACTAATCGGAATCGAGATGAGACAGCAAACGTGTGAAATAGTTATTTATGATTTTTTTCTTTCGTACATTTGTTTTTCATCTCGTTTTTGCTCTTAAAGCTTTTCTGTTTTAAGGCCATTCTGTTTCTTACTCTGCCTCCTAGCCAATCAGAATCATTTATTTACTTTTACAATAGTTCAAACAAGTTTTAGAATTGTTAATATTACCAGAGAAACGAATAAATTATGCATATTTTTATGCAGATTTTTAAGTTTTTAAAAAATTGACAGTAGGAAACAATTTTCGTAAATTTTTCAAACAAGGTATAAATTCTTCATTTTCTGGTCTGCTCTTAGACTTTTTCTGTTTTTAGACCATTCTGCATGTCTAAATACGCGATGCTCGGGTTGACGTCCAGACAAGAAAACTGCCTATAATACAAATTCATAGATGGAATCTATGAAAAAAATGCTTGTCATACAATTTCATAGACAAAAAATGTAAAGCAAGTTTTCAAATTGAACCTTGTTTCGAAAGTTGGATCTTTTTAACATCTCTCCCCTCCCCTATTGTATCTATTAAGGAATCTCCCCCTTTCTTGAAAAGGGGGTATTGTTAAGTAGATCCCTGGTGATCTACTTAACAATCTCTCCCCCTATTGTATCTACTAAAGAATCTCCCCCCCCCCCTTTCTTGAAAGGAGGGGAGATTGTTAAGTAGATCCTGAAAATTATATCAAAAAAATCAAAGCTCAACAAGACTGCTCGTATCAGGGCGAAGCCTTGAATGTTCCGACTGCCTTTTAAGGTCTATGAAACAGTAATAACATGAGAAAATTGAATGTAAAAAAAAATGAAAAAAGTTTTCTAAAAAAATTTGATATTTTTTTGGGAAAATTGTCCCCGCACACGCCATATAAAGTACAAAGTGAGAAATGTCGCTTCTAGTAACAAATAAATTATGGCAAATAAGCTTCCTTCAACCAATTTAGAACGATTTCTAAGACGGATTAAATCTACGCTTACGCGTTAATAGCGCGAATTATATCGTGCGTGAATTGTCCCAAATTGGCCAAAATGCCAATTTTTATACCCACATAACTGTACAAAAAACGATCACAGGTGAAATATTTTTTCAAATATAAGCTCAGGACAACAATACTTTTTGAATGATATAAAAAAACCGTCAAAAATGGCTAGTTAAAAAGTCGAAATTTGTCTGAAGAAAAAAAAACCCACACCGAGCACAAATTTTCCGTTACTTTTGTGTCCAAAGTCGGAAAAAAAGAAAACTCGTGGCAGTTTACGTTACATGAGAACAAATTGGGCTTAACAGTTTTTATTAAACAAATGCCTACCTTTTAAGTTCAGTTCATATATGAAAATGTATGATATGCATTTTCAAAAAAAAATTACAAATTTAAATTAATACAAATTATATTAGTTTCAAGAAAAAATACAAAACTTCTTGAAAAAAAAAAAAATTTTTCCTTTTCTTGACTGCAGTCCCGCTTCTAAACATTTCACGAAGAAAAAATTATATTTCGAATAGAAAAGTAAAGAAATAATGTTTTGTGTCTATAACGTCTGTGCTAAAATAAACCTAGACAAGCTTTTTGTGCCACTGATTTTTTCTAAAGAAAAATAGTTTTAGCCATATACAAAAAGGTACTTGTTTTTGTATATAATTCTGAATGAAAAAACGCACATTCATGTGCCTGGCAAAGCACCAAATGCAGTTTTTCTGTGTGCTAACAGTCACTAATCTCTAGGTTTTCTCATACGAGAACCCTTGGTGTTTGTGTTTTCGAACAAAACACAAAACGTCAAAGTAACCTCATAATTTTTTTTGTATTTTGATGTCTGGAAAAAATGCTTTTACTCACTTTCATAGTTTAGAAAAAACGCTTTTTATACAGTTTTATAGTATAAAAAATTTAGTGCGCTATAAAAATGCTTTTTTGGCTCTTTTTATACAATTACAGTCTATGAAGTTGTATGGTAAGCTTTTTTTCCTAGTATAAAATTGCATGAAAAGTATTTTTTGTCAACCCGGGTACGTAACCACAGCAACTGTTTTATGTTATTCATCGTACTGAGCCAGTGTCCACACATACGACGACAAGTGCTAGGATGGCAACCGTTTTTGATAGGACATTAGGACTATTCTAAACACAATTCTTCAAATGCTTGTCTGAGAAATATAAACCGATTTAAGTCGAACAGTTCATTTAAACAATTAAAACGCGCTTTTGTCGTTCGGATGCAATGTCATCATAGTCTTAATGTCCAGTCGTCCTTTTTACCTTGCACTGCGGAACATAAGTTTATTTTACGTGCCGAACCTAAATTTGTTGAAATGCCATTTCTCAGAGAAGCAATTAAACCATTGAAGACAGCCCATAATCCTAATTATGAATTATTTGAAGGAGTTTTTTGACATTGTTGCCGAGAACAATAATCATGTTTATTACCGCACCAATTCTTTTTAGCAATGATGGCAGCAACATTTCAAATCATCGTTTTCCTTTTTGAAGCTACTTATAGACTTTGAAAATGTTTTCTCGTTTCGATAGTTTAAAAATTAGTGATTACCTTTTAAACCATTTTGTGTTCCCCCGAAAAATTGACACGAAAACGTCCCCCCATTATCGTCAATCATTCTCAAAAAATATCGACTTTGACAACCCTTCATTTATATTATTATTCTCGAAAGGGTTAAGAGAGGTGAATGAAGCCTTGCCAAATCTTATATCGGCAAAAAAGAGGGATCAGTTGAAAAGAATTTTTGAGCGCTGGCTTGATTACCAAAAATGGTCTTCACTGAACGCGAAAAAGCTCGCGGATGCTATTGCCAGTTTTAGAAACCCAGGAGACTACCTTCCGATCATTTGCGAAGACAAAAACGCACTGCTAGTATTCAGAATACCAACATCCGAGAATTCTGACGCCATTTTGGTGAATGCAACACAATTGTTGCTACCAGCTAACACGTTTTTAGGACAAAAAGGATGTCCCGTTCGAAACTTACCCGATGGGCCGACATTTGAGGTTCCCCGAGAAAAGGTAAGACCACGAGAAAAAAATCACAACTCTTACCAAAACTGAAAGTCCTGAAAAGAAAACCGAAAATAAGTCTCATTTTTCATTCGAATGCTCAAAAAAACTTCTGCTCATTTGACTGACAAATTAAACGTCAAACTAGCAAGCCCGTCAATTGGCTCGCAAAAAATTAGTTCTTATTCTGATCAAGCTAACCTTTTCAAGTTAAGCCATATGGTAAAAAAGTTTGAAAACTTTCTGTTTCATAGAACGAGTTGGTTCCCGCAAAAAATTGAAGTTTTTCTTAGCGACCTATCTAAGTATGAAACTTTGAAATAATTCAAAATGATTCATGAAAGAAAAACGGATGGTGCAACAACGGATGGTGTTTCATGGAGCGAATCAATTCGTTAAAAAAAATAGTTTTTCTAGGCAGGTTATTAAAGCAAGGAAATTTTTTGAAATCAATTCACGTTGTTTCATGGAGCAAATCAGCTGGCAAAGCATTCATGTTTTTCTATGCAAGCTATTTAGAACCTGAAGCTTTTAAACATTTTCAAGTTATTGCATAAAATGATTTGGTTCAGAAAAAGTATAAGTTTTTGAAGCTAATTATTGATCTAGAATGATTGTTTAACTAGAATGATTTCCAGTTATTTCTGAAAATTTCGCAGGAAACTTAAACTTTTCTAAGCAAGCTGTTTAAGCTATGAAACTTCAAAAAGTTCGAGTTAGTTCAAAATTGGAACCTGATGGCAAACTGTTTTTCTATAGAAGACATTCAAGTGATTTCTCGGTTTTTCTTAGTTTTTTAATCAATTTTTTGCACGAGCAAATGAAGCAAGGAACTTCTGGAAAACCGAAGCTACTTCTTCTACCAAACAGTTTTTCTCATTAGTTGAAATTTTCCAAAGCAAGTAGTTTAAGCTCTGAAACTTTGACATTATTCAGGATATGTCGTGAAACAAATCACGAAAAACATGTCCAAGCAAGCTATTCGAAACTTTGAAGCTATTCCGAACTTTGAAAACTAGTCTATGAGTTAATGCATAGACTGACTCGGTTTGCGAGAAGTTCACGTTTTTCTAGGCAAGCTAATAGAGCTATGCAACTTTGAAATACAAGTTATTTCATCAACCGAATCAGTACGAGAAAAGCTTAAAAAATTTCTATGCAAGGTAGTCAGGCTAATATAATTTTAAATCTTTCGAGTTATTTCGTGGACTGAATCGGTTCGCAAATTTTTTTTCTAAGCAGAGTTCGTAGCTAGGAAACATAGAAAATTTTCAATTTTTTTCATAGGTTAAATCAGTTTGCCAGTAATTTTAAGTTTTTTGAAGCAAGCTATTCAAGCTATGAAACTCTGAAATATTGCCAGTTATTTCATAGACTAAATCGGATGGCGAACTGTAGAGTTTTCCAAGCAAACTTTTAAAGATATGAAACTTTGAATTATTTCAAATTATTTTAACGACCGAATCGTTCGCAAAAAATTAGGTTTTTCGATGCAAGTTTTTCAAGCTATGAAGCTTTGAATGATTTCAGGATATTTCATAGACTGAATCAATTCGCGATTCAGAAAACTTAGAAAAAAACTTTTAGAGAAAAAGCGCGATGCAAAAACTTTCAAATTTTTTAAAGCAAGTTTTGAAACTTTGGAAAATTTTAAGTTTTTTTGGCTCGAATCGGTTCGCAAATAAAATTCAAGCTTTTAAAAAGTTAAACTTTGAATTATTACAAATTATTTCAAAGACTGAATCGGTTTGCCAAAATTTTTAAGTTTCTTGAAGGTCTCTGCATGTCTTCCCGATTTCTAACTTTAAGAAATTCAGACTCTTTGGAAAATTTTATGTTATTCTTTGGACCGAGTCGGTTTGCGAACAAATCAAGTTTTTCTAAGCAAGCTTTCTCAGCCATGAAACAATAAAATTTTTCCTTTTATTTCATAGACCAAAACGGTTCGCAAAAAATTTCCTCCCTAGCAGGTTGCTGTTTTTAAGTGATTCGTTGCAGACTGAAATGAATCTGTAAACGCAACAATATTAACAAAATTAGGCAGGTACTGTCTAGCCTTGAATTTGGATCGAGTTCATATTCCTCTTTATGATTCTTAAGCGTTACTTTCGGTAGCCTTTTAAACATTGTGTTCAGTTAAACATTGCGTCTATAGCGCATTCCGATTTTTAATTATTATTTAAGATTGCAGTTTGAAACACGCTAAAACGACGGAAATTGTTTTTTATTAGAAAACCTTCGTTTTGGCGCAAAAATGACAAAAAAAAAGTAAATTATGTTTGGTATTTCGATAACAAAAATCACCCGTTCGATTTAGCTTTGCTTCCAGCCACCATTTAAAAGAGTGGAAATTGCCTATGGCTTAGAGTTGACTTTTAATAAAATGTTAAAACAATACACCCCGTTAGAATGCTAACTCGACTAACTAAGATATAAAGGATACGACATAGAACTGTTTTAAATGTGTTTTATAAAATACAAAAACTGAGCGTACTGTTTCACTCTGAAGAGTGAGTATGCTTCAACGTAAAGGTTAGATAAAACCAAATAAAATAATTAAACGATAGACTTCACAAGACTTCGCCCGCTAGGGAAAAGTTCAAAATTAATTAAATCTAACTTACTACACATATCTTTTCCGCTTTCAACCGGAGAAAGAAAATAAAGTTAAGAAATCACAACTAATTAGCGATTAGGTCAAATTAACAATTAAGATTATCAGCATAATAAGAGAGAGAGAGAAAGAGAAAAAATAATCTTTCGACGATATGTCCTACGGATATATCGAATGAGTAAATTAACAATTAGTCAGCGAAAACTGTAAGGGTTGATAAGATCGATCATTGAACGATACTAGGTTATTTCCTGAGTTCTGAGTTAAGCACTGCTCCAACAGAGATTATTAAAATAATGAAAAGCGCAGGATAAATTAAGTTCATAAGGTTTGGAGCAAATTTTCAATGAAGGAAAATTTTGTCACTAGTTTTTATCTCTAATGAAATCCTCTATTGGTGGATGTAGCTGGCTCTCGATAGTTGACTCGATGTCAATGTCGCTCTCCCTATCTTCTCTCGTTTCCAAAAGAATTAACATTTCCTCCTTGTCGGGTACCAAACTGGTGTCGTAGTTATCCGTTTGATTTTCTTGAGGCTTAATGTTCAAATCCGCATTCTCGGGACTCCATTGAGGGACTCCACTAGATGAATCTGATGGGCTCCGCTGGATGATCATCCGGTTACCTTGACATTTTGGTTGACCGACATGCGTACGTGGACATGAAGTTTTAAAGTTATCACTGGGTTATCACTTTCGATTTCTTAAACTGGAGAGTCCAAATCGCTGATTTTGACAGGTCCACTGTAGTCGTCAATGTCTGTGACTGTGTGTTTCCTGTGGAGACACCTCTGATTTTGATGTTGGCCTATCTTCTGAGACTGGTACAGCAGTTTCAGTAGTGTTTCGGGTGACTGCTGATAGAGAAGGTGCCGTTAATATTGAGATAAGGCAATCGTGAATTGTGTCCGGGTGCGTTATGGCTTCTTCTTCGTCTAGGTCTAAGAGTTTAATTTTAATATTAGGGTTTAAATTTTCGTCTATTTGCCGGTTTTTCTCTAATTCAGGGCTGTTTTATTCCATGTTAATAATGAAGTGTTCCTTAACAACAAATTTACAAGAAAATCCACTCATAATTGCTCAAATCCGAAAGATAAAATAGTAAGAAAAACGATTCATATTCTCCTAAATAACCTGCAGGCAAGGTCTTGGTCTTTTTTTGGTTGCGCTCGAGTTTTCTGCTTTGGGCCTTCTTTCTTCTTTGTCTGGGTTCATTTGTTAGTTTTTCTCCGGGAAGGTGATGTGTTTGATGAAGAATACAAGGGTACCATTGACAAGAGTTTTTGGTCCAGATTCCCTCCTTTGAAATGAATGAGCGCCTGCTTGGAAGTTTTGGCAAAAACAGGGTAGGGTAAGGTCTCCCTTAAATATCCGTAGTAAAGCATGAGGCGTGGTCTTTCTGTTGTTTTTCAGGATGCCAATTATATGAATGTTAACTCGAAGAAATCGGATTATAGGTTTTGAAGACGTGGATGAGGTAATTTTAGCTGAGGGAAACTTAAAAAAATTGTCGATACAAAGTAAAGTTTTTTTTATGAGATCCCCAGTTAATATCCAGCGGACTGGCAAAGTCTAAATTGACTTCTTCGTTCAACCCTGATAAAACAGGTAATGATTTCACTTCCGAGTACGGCATTAAAGGGTTTAAAATTTTACCAGCTTTGATGCAGTTTGAGCAGTTTGTTCCATGGTACCAGATGAGTCTATTAATGTGAGGCCACCACACGTATTCAAACAAGTACTTCATCCCAAATTGCTCAGGTATGTTTTGTGGAGTATTTTTTATTACGGCGCCGCTATCACGAAATGATACCACCAATTTATTATCCATGAATAGCAATCCGTTGGAAGTATGAAAATCCTTATAGTATTGGTTAAAGTAGGTTCCAAAATTAGTCGTGTGCAAATCCCTTTTCCCCTTTAAAACTCTAATTAAAGGCTTCAAAAAAATGTCTTTTTCGGTAGGAGGAGCGACAATCTTGGTATTGAATAACCAATTAATTTCAAAAGATGTTTTTGGTAATTTCAGAGACTCACTGCGTTTACGAGCAAATGTTATAAGTTTCGATTCGGGATATTCTAAATTAAAAGAAATAAGTACGTCTGATTGATTAAGATTAACTACAATTTGGTTATTTACAAATACGCTACTTACAATGTTTATATCCATTGGAGTTTGTAAAATTTTGTACTAATTGATAAATGGAATAAAAAGAAATAATCTGAAACTTTTTTTTTCGATAAATCCATAATTCAAAAATCCAGCCAAGCACAATTAGCAGAGCAAAATTCTGAGCAGGTATGGATCAAGTCACCAATTTTTAAGGCGGAACTAACAATTTGTAACATTGAGCCTTTTTTATAGTTTAATAATATTTACAAGATGAGCAGTTATA